CGCGCCTCCACGAAGGGCGATGCCGGCGCGGAAGCCGGGCTCGCTCAGGCCCCGACCCGCGGGCACCGCGCCCCACCCCGCGCTCGGCCCGGCGCCGCAGTTCCCGCCTTCGCCGCCGGGGGTCGCGCCGATCCCCACCCCGGCCGCGCGGCGCTGGGACTCGGGTCGCGTGGACTCGCCGGCGCCCGCCCCGCAAGGGAAGCTCGGAGCGCGGGGGCCCCCGGGTGCGGGCCCCGGGGAGGCTGGCGGGGCTGCAGCCGCGCCTGCCCCCCAGGCCCGCGGAGGGTAACGGCGCCCCCGCGCCCCGCCCCTTCCGGGAGGGCCCCCGGCGGAATCCCCGGCGGGGAGGGAACTTGAACGGCAGCCCGCGCGCCCGCGGCCGGACTCCGGGCGGCAGGGGAAGTGAAACCGGGCGGCGGGGGCGCCCGGGGCGCTGAGTCGGGCTTTTGCAGGACGCGTCATAGGAAACTGAGGCCGCGGGACGCTCCCGCCCGGGCGAGGCTCCAGCCTCGCCGGACCCCAGAAGGCAGCGCCAGGGAAGGAAGTGGGTCCGCCCTGCCCCCGGGGGCGGGGGCCCCTTCCGGGGGCCGCCGGGCCGCGGGCGCGGCGGGGCCCCGGCAGCCCGGTCGGCGCGTGTGCGGGCTGGGCGCACCCTCGCGACCCAGGGGGCCCCCGCGCCGCGGCCCCACGCGCGCACTGGGGCGCGGGGCTTGGGGTCGCCCCGGCTGGGCCTGCAAGGGGCCCTGCCACTCGCGCGGCGCTGCCGGCCTCCTGGGGCCCGGGGCCCGCCCCGCGCGGCTTCCGGCCAGGCCGGAAGGAGCGGCGTTTGGAATGTTTGGGAACCGGCGTCGCAGTTCCCGGGATGTTGGGGGCAAGGGGAGGGGCCTAATCTGCGTGTGAATGGCAGGCGGTGGCGGGCCGGCGGGAGAGGCGAGCCTGGGGGTGGCCCGGCGCTGGGGGAAGGCGCGGGCGTCCGGACAGGGGCTCCTACGGGAAGGCCACCGCACACCATCCCCGCGGAGACCTGACCCGGATGGCCAGATCCAGCCCGAGAGCCCGGTGACACTTGGCCTGTCCCTGCAGGCGTGGGGGGCGGGCAGACCCCCGACTTTGGCAGGGGCCGGTAATACCCCCCGGCCTCCGCGCTGCAGCTCTCCTGACGTCACCGGGCGCCTGGGCCCGTCAGTCCCCGGCCCTCCCGAGCCCACCCAGGCAGGGCGGCAGCCGCCTCCCCAAGCCTCAGGGGCCTTTGCGGGGACTTGGTTCTTAGAAACAGGAAGTTAGTGCGTGGGCTGCACGTCCACCAGGTGGAGGCTGCCAAGAGCCGGGTTAGGGGGGTTTGAACCCCTCAGGGACTCGACACCCTCCCCTGGGCGGAGATGGTGCAGCAGGCAGAGGCCGGCAAGGAGAGGATGTCTCCTCCCCTTGGGGCCACCTCGGCGGGGCGCCCTCGGTTGGCCGCTCTCTTCCCAGCCCCCTGCCCAGCAGCAAGCCTGCCCTGGGGTGAGCACACACGTACACGTGCGTGTGCACACATGAGCGTACATGCTGGAATAGAAGCCTGCCTCCCGAGGCCAGGAGACCTGCCATTCTGGGGCTCCTCCAGCCCTGCCAGCCCTGTGGGGACCGGGTTTCCCTCTGGTCTCTGGTGGCCCATCATCCCCTTCCTCCTGTCCAGCCAGGACCCCAGGCCCTGTGTCTTCACTGGGCAGGGTGGGGGTCTTTGCTGTGGACCTGGGGACCCCACGCTATGGAGGATGGAGCCCAGGAGGGCCTGGGGGTGGGCCTGGGCCACCCAGGATCTGAGATCACTTGAGTTGGCCCAGCATGGCACTGTCTCATCCGAGGAGCCTGGCCAGGGTCCAATGTGCAGGAGGGGCCAGAGGGTTTTGAGTGGGGCGGGGCAGGCACCCTCACACTCCCGGGCTTCTCGGCAAGCTCACCTGGCTTTCCATGCATGCCAGCATGTGGACACCATGGCCTGCCTGAGTGAACGTGGGACTTAGATGCCACCCCACCTCTCCGGGCCTGTCTCCTGGGCTGCAGAGGGGCATTGCTGGGCCTCAAGCTGTGCTCATCTGAATGGGAGCCTTGGGGAAGGGGACCTGAGCCCAGAGCCCCTTCACAAGAAACACTGTCACAGACCCCATGGCAGCAGGAACGACCTGGGCAAAGCTCGATCTAAGCTTCCTTCCGGTAAGTGCTGCCAGGCGGGCATAGAGCAGGAAGGCCTGGTCTTAGCCCAGCTGGACACCTGACAAGCCCAGGACTCCAAACAAAAACAAGCCAGGCCAGCTCCACCTGCCTGTCACCCCCTGCAGTGGGGCCACCTGCTCCAGGGCTGGGAGTCCCGACCCCCTCGGCCTCCAGCCCCTGGCATGGACCTGGGCACAGATGGCTCTGTGCATGAGGCCTGCCCGGCACATGTCAGCCATACATGGGGGTGGGCATCCGGGCTCAAAAAGTTCTGTCCCCACCTCTCCCAGGGTCTGCTGGCCATGGGTGGGGCAGACGGGAGGGTGCAGGGCTGCGTCTCTTGGATCAATGTTTCTGTGGGAGGGTCAGGACCTCCTCCAAGCCCCTGGTTTCATATCCTGCTGGGGCTGCACAGCCCAGCCTTTTTTGAGGGCGCACACTGCCCTGGGGGTGGGCTGGAGGGGAAGGCCAGGCCTTCCTTTTCCATGCAGATGCCCAGTGCCATGCAGGTGATCGTTGCACAGAGTGTGTCTAGGGCCTTGGGCCCACCCAGCTGGACCACCAGCTGCCTTGTGGGCTTGCGCTGCAGTGAGGGTGGGGGTCTCAGGAATCTCACAAACCACTTTTACATGACTTGGGCTTGCCTGTTGTCAAGGCAGTCGGGCTGGCCTGTCTTCCTGGCCAGCAAGGGGCGACCATGCGGCTGGACATGTGGAAGAGGGGGAGTGGGGGAGCAGGGGCAAGTCAGAGTGCCGGGTGCGGGGGCCAGGGAAGGGGCTGCTGGAGGAGGGTGCGGGCTGGGGGCGGCACAAGGGCCTGGGGCTCAGGGAAGGGCAACGGGCCGTGCCTGCTATTACTGTAAATGGGTAGGCAGCTTCCTCTTTCCGCAGAGGGTGTGCCTGGCATCCGCCTCCCCAGATAAGGGCCTGGGCTCTTGGTCTGCGGTCAGCCCCCTTGACCACAAGGGGTTGGGGGAGGTGCCAGGGGGCAGACTGTGGCTTTGGGGCCAAGACTGGAGGAGGGGCAAGACACCCCCCTAAGAGGGAGACCGGCAGGCGCATCTGCGCACCCAGGGGCCAGGGACCCGGGTGCTGTGACCAAGGCAAAAGGGAAGCCCTGCGGGGAAACTGGGCAGGACGGAACCTGGGGGTCCCAGTGGTTCCCAGCACCATCCCTCCCAGGCTCACTCCACCCCCAGACCTTGGCACTGACTGCGGGAGGGGCCCCGAGAGCTGCCAGCCCAGGGGAACTCGCTCCGTCCAGGCTTTTGGGCAGACGAGGTCAGGCTGCAAGAGAGAACCGGTCCCTGTGGTAGTCTTGGCCCACGTGGCTATGCTGTGGGCGGCCCTCCCCCAAGGTGGGGGGCTGCTAGAAATACCCAGGCAGTGGGTATCTCCCATCCTGACCTCACGAAGTCCTCAGGGGGCCCAAACTCCTTTGGGAGGTCTCTGTCCTGAAGTGGGGGTGCCCAGAGCCCTTGAATGCCAAGCCCCAAGTAATGCCCGGGGCTGCTTCGGAGCAGATAGCCCGAAGCACCCTGGGGGCTGCTGGCCTGCGTCCTGGGACTCAGACTGCCATGGGCCCAGCCCCCAGGCCCCTGCCGGTCTGAGCATCGACACTGGCCCACAGACACCCCGTGCCAGGAAGCCCCCTCCCCTGCCCCCAGCAGGCCTCCTGCCATCATTGCTCTTGAAGTCTGACCTCAGGAGCACCTGGACCTTCCAAGTAGGGGCCCCAAGGGCCAAGGGTGCAGGTGGCGGGGTGGGGGGGGCAGGTCCTCACCGGGCCCAGGCTGCAGCCTCAGGGCAGCTCTGGGGGCAGGAGCCAGAGCCTGCAAGGTGGGAGTCCAGCAGCCTCCAGCCCCCAGTTCCCCACTGAGCCCCGACAGCCACACTAGCTGGCTGACCACTCGAGAGGTGCCAGAGGACTGTAAGGTATAATCCTCCCAGTGGACAGTTCCCTGGACACCAGAGGCAGGCAGTGGTCAACAGAGGCCCAGTCACTCAGGAGTCCCTTCTCCTGGGGGCCTTGCTAAGTGACAGTTGGACTGGGGGCAGCCAAGATGCCCACTCTTGGGCAGAGGGTGCCAGGGCCTCAGCTGCACCCCACTGTCATCCACGCCTCAGGGACTGGGGACCCCAGACTGGGCCTCGGGCCTGATGTGCAATGGGCAGGGGGCAAGTTGGGGGCTGTGGCTTGGAGCCCAGCCTCATGTTTACACAGCCTGCCTCCCCCTCAACCTGCTCTGACCTGGCCTTGGACCTCCCTAGGGGTACCCCAGGAGGGGCAGCTGGTGGGGCACCAAGTTCTGGACTTTGGGGTGCCCATAGTCCAGGCTGAGGCCACAGGAATGGGGGTTCTTTCTCCTGAGTCCCATTGTCCACCCACCTGCAGCCCAGCTCTGTGGAAGAGCTGGCCATATGCCCCGGGGGCAGTCTCCAGGCCTCAAGCCTGGTCTCCAGCGGGCCGGGCCTTACAGGCCCCACGCCAGGGCAGCCGGGGCTTCCGGCTGACGGCGCAGTACAAGGGCCGCAGCCTTGGAGGACAGAGGGCACCTGCTGGGGCACTGCCTACCATGGCCCCCCGTCTGCCTAGGGTCAATGGAGACTGAAGGCCCCCACGGTCTGACCTGAAGATGGTGGCCCGGGGCAGGGGCAAGGAGCCCCGAGAGGGGCGGTTGGCCACAAGCTGCCCCAGCGTCCGCTCCAAGTCCTTCGTCACATAGCGTCACCCGTTCAGGGCAGGAAGGTATGGAAGGACTAGCGGGTAACACAGCGAGATAGAGAAATATGCCAAGCTTTTTCTTTTTTCTTTTTAAATCAGGCATTTATAAACAAGAAAGCATACATTAATTACATAAAAATAGTTTTCGAATAGTAGAGTCAGTCATCATATTGTCATTAGCAGCAAAGGAGAAAATGGCGGCAATGCAGACGCTCCTGGCGGATATAAAGGTAGAGCTGTGTTTTTTTCCTTAATTGAAAAAATGTCGCTTGTGACTCCTGACTTAAAGCAAGAACAAGCCGGCCTCCCTGGAGCCTTGGGGCGGGCAGGGCGTGGGGGTGTCTGGCGTGGGGCTTGTCCGGCCCCCTCGCAGCTGAGCATTTCTTCCTCAGAAACGGCCCAGAGAGCAAGACGACTGCCAGGTGAGAAGTTTCTGAAAAAGGAACCACCATACACACGTGCGGCACGACGGCGCGGGGGGCACGTGCAAGGGAGCCGGCCCATGCCGGCAAGCCCCGTGCGGAGGCGGAGCATCAGGCTTAGCTGCTCCAGACGTGTTATTGCTGTTGTTTTTTCCCTTCGTTAAGAATCTTCAGCACAGAAATGAGTGATTAAACTCAGCACACAAATCGTTTCAATGACGGGCATAGCACACAGAGAGCCATGGCTGCAGGCAGAGCCTCTCCGCCCTCCTCCGCAGCTGCCCTGCAGAGCTGGGCCTCGGGCTGGGGGCCGACAGGCAGTGGCGAGAGACGCCTGCAGCTGGGCTGGCTCTGGACTGGCTCTGGAGGGCGAAGCGGCCGGGACGACCCTGCCCCTTGCCCTGGCCTTGGCCAGGGAGCTGCTGGTGAAGGGAAACCCCACTGTGCCCGGCCCCCACCCCACCAGCTCTGGTGGGACCCTCGGGAGGGGCGGGCCTGGGTGGGCAGGACCTTCCCAGGGCCCACATCCACCAGCTCTTAGGGATATGCTGTCGCTGTGCCCCGATGTTCGGATGACACCAACTCGTGCCGGTGTGCATAGATGGACAAGAATTGGGAGCCAGGGGACCTGGCATGGGCAAGAGGCAGTGCCCTCGCACATAACTCAGAGGAGCTGACCTACCTCCAGAGCCTAAAAACTCAAAAGCAAGCAGATCGGACCAGGGCACAGGCCGCAGGCCCTCTGACCTCCCTGGGCTTTCAGACTTGGCCACAGGGCACAGACACACAGAAGTGCACTGACACATTTAAAGCTTCGCTCCAACTAAATTGTTTCGCTTCCCTAGAAGAAATGACTGAAAAAAACACAACTCTGGAAAAACAAGGCTGAGCACAGCATTCTGAGTGTTGCTAACAAAACGGACCCTTTATGTAACACGGTAATAATGCCCATCGATGGATATACGTATGGCAGAGGTTTAAAATTCCATGCACACAGATTTAATAACTGCAAAAGAAAACAGAAGCAAAAAAACATCCAGACGCTGCATATACGTGATGTTCCTTTCGCGTTGCACGTCAGAGGGGGCCCAGCGGCACCCGCCCCTTGCCCAGCGAACCAAGGGCAGAACCCTGCCGGCACCACCGAGCCCCAGGTCTCTGCCTCTCACCGTGCCGCCCGTACCTGCCCTGGCGAGATGCTCTCCAGTCCGGCTGCCTCACAGCTGCCACGGTGTGAGCAGAGTCAAGCCAGATTCCGCGAAGATCTACCTCACGTAAATAAATACAACCGCAGAGCAGACAGCCGCCTCTTGACTACTGGGAAATCAGTTTTCAAGCTTGGGCATAAGAAACCTTATACAATTTGCATAAACAGTGAGTAAACGAGATTATTTGGAATAAATGCAGGTAACTTATTCTGATGGTGGCAGATTCAATTGCTACTGGAGACATATTTTGGGGATAAAAAGACGAGTTAGGATTTGCTGTACAAGATGCTGGAAGGCACAGGACTACCCCCCGAAGTTCAGTTTTTGCATTTTCATTTTCTTGTGATTCCCTTGTTCAACCAAGCACCAGAGGGGGTTTCTAAACACTCGAGCACTTAGGATGTGAACTGCTCTATAAATCGGTTTGTAATATTTGAAAAGTAAAAACCCCAATTAACTGGGGAATAAAAAGGGAAGATTTTTGACAAAGTGCGGTTCTAAATATACGTTTAAATGAACAAACAAACAGAGAAAAAGTGAAATAATGCTGTTTTGTTCCAATGCTGGCAGCCTCAGCCCCCAAACAGGAGTGGTGTCCACTGAGCTGAGAGGAGGTGGCCGTGGGCAAGCGGCGCGTGCCAGCCAGTGCGGACCCGCCTCATCATCGCCCCGGCAGATGGCACCCCTCGGCTCGGCGTTCCCGAGCGACACCTGCTGATGGCGAGGTGGCGCTGCAGCCAGCCTAAGACACAGCGTCCCAGCTCGGGCATGGCGCGTTCCTCTCCTTGCTCTCCCTGGCGGCAGCACAGGAGACCCGGGTCCTTGTCGCTGAAAAAATAGACTCTGGAGAAAGACCCTTCAGTCCTCACGCAGCTGTGGTGCCACTGAGCAGGGATGGCTTCTCGGGATGGGGTGGCTGCCACCCCACTCCCTGGGCAGGTCCTCAGATCACATCACGTGTTGGTGGGGCTTTTAAAAGTTAGTCATTAAAAAACCTGTTGATTTTTCTGAATATCAAGTCTCCTTGTTGGTTTTAAATAGCTTATAACAAAAATGTAAATGTTAGAATGTTCCGGCAAGCAGAGGGCCAGCCCCAGCCCCAAGCTGGCCTTGTCTCCAGCGGCAGTGGGGACCCGGCTGCTCTCCTGAACTTGGCCAGTAGAAAATTTTGCAGTGGATTTCAAAAGGACGTGGCTCCAAACTCTCGCTTGGTCGCAGGCACAGTGAGACGTTGTGCTATGTGGGGGCAGGCCCCGCTGGCGCAGCAGCAGACGGCAGCCTAGGGCTCCAGCTCGGTGGGACCCTCAACGCCTGCGGCCTCGGGGCGCGGCCGGGGCCACAGCTGCTCCTGCAGCTCCTTCACCACCTTCTCCAGGTGCTCGCGGGCCTCCCGCTCCCGGAGCAGGTCGGCCCGCAGCTGCTCACGGTCAGCCTCCGCGTGCTGCAGCTTCACCTGCAGGTCCTCAATCTGCAAGGCATGCCAGCGTTGGCGAGCTGCACCCTACCAGGCTCGCCCTGTCCACTGCCTGCTGGGACGTGGGTCTGGCACAAGCACCCAGACCCACCCCTTCCTGCCACCAGCCTGGCAGGGGGGCCCGAGGCAGGAACCACCCAAACCCCAAAAGCAGCAGCCTGGGTGCCTCCCGACCTGTTCCCCAGGAAGCCTGCTGCCAGGTCCCAAAGCACCAGCAAGCGGCACATGCCCAGTTCACGAGAATGAATGGGGGTGCGGACCCCCAGGATGGGAGAGGTCACAGCTGCCTGGGGTTCCTCTGCACACTGGGCTGAGAGCTTGTTTCTCCAGCAAAACCAGAAAGGGAAGGGCATGACCAAGGGAGCCAGCCCCCCAGGGTGCCGCTTGTCAGCCACCGGGAGGAGCCCTGGGGCCTCAGCTGGCCCTGTGGAGCCTGCGGGCCCCCGACTCCAGAGGCACCACGAAGCGCACAGACACATACGGCCTGGACGCACCAGCCTATTTCCCACCCACGCCTAGGCTGGGTCCTGCCTCCCAGGCCACCCCTGCAGCCCTGCCACATACCTGGGCCGAGTACTTGGCACGCAGGCGGCCGGCCTCACAGCCCTTGTCGCACACCCGGACCTGCCGCGCCTGCTCCAGCTCCCGCTTCAGCCGCAGCCGTGACTCCGCAGCCTCTTTCATCTTCTTCTCGTTCTCTGCCCGCAGGCGCTCGATCTCCTTCCGCAGGCTGCGCTTTGCCTCCGTGGCCTCCCGCAGCTTCTCTTTCTTGGCCACGCGCAGGAACTCCAGCTCCTGGGAGGTGGTGGCACAGCACGCTCAGGACCCCCGGGGCCCCCGCCCTGCCCACCATGCCCCCTCACAGGGTGCTTGCTGCACGACTCCCCGCACTGCCCCCACCTAACCGCTGCTCTGAGGGCTACACCGGGCCCAGGGCAGCACTGACTCCACAAGGCGCCCCGCGCCCGGCCCTCCCTCTGCCCTCTCCGGCAACCCCGACCCGTTCCAGTGACGTCCTGGGTCGCCCCTCCCGAGGGTGCTAGCATGCTGCCCTGCAGCTGCTGCCCGCTGCAGCTGCCAGGAAGGCTGGGAAGGCCTCCCAAGCCTCCTGCCCCCAGGCCCTCCATGCACAGCTGGGGTTTTGCTGGGCCTCCAGCCATCTGAGGGCCCAGGACCCCCGTAGCCATCTCAGCACTTCTGTGGGGCTTCCAGCTCTATCAGTGCCCTCGGCCTTTCTAAAAGTGCCCGTGGGAAGTCACCCCTCCAGCTAGAACCAGGAGAGTGAGAGGCGCTCTGAGGGCCTGGGTGCTCTGGGCTCTCAGGACGGGCAGGCAGGGCTGTGCTGCGCCAGGAGCCCACGTGTGACGCTGCCCCAGAGCTGCCAGACGGCTCGGCTGAGGTGTGAATTCAGCTGACACTCGGAGGGCCTCCCGCAAGGCCGCAAAGCCCAGGTGTGAAGGCGCCGCCCCGCTGTGCTGAGAATCTCAGGCCTCCCCCTTTGTCAGAAAGGGTGGTGTGGAGGGCCGCTGCAGCCCAGAGCAGCCCCACTGTCTGCCCAGTAGAGCGAGAGGCGGGCACAGGCACCGCCCGGGCATCATCAGACCTCTGCCTCTTCTCTAAAAGAGGTCACTTCTGTGGAATCACCTAGAATCTGCCATGTGTAGCTGCGCGTGTGCCCGGAGTCCTCTCCCTCCAAGGCAGGCTCGCCAGGCCTGTCCCGCTGCGTACGTGTGCCGGAAGGAGCTCTAGGAAAGCCCCCTCACGTCTATTTAACGCAGACAAGAAGCGCTGGGGGTGCCTGGGGGTGAGCACCCAACTGCCTCCTAGGAGCAGCCCAGCCCTCACTGCCCCAGCGGGTGGCCGGCTCCGGGCTGCACCGGCGCAAGGCGCGCCCCGGGCCCCGCACCTGGTGGAGGCTGCGCTTGGCCTGCAGCGCGGCGCTCAGCTTCTCCTCCTGCTTCACGCGCATCTTCACCACCTCGTGCAGGAACTTCTCTTTGGCTTCCTTGGTGTCCAGGCCGCCCTCCAGGGCCTGCCGCAGGTGCTCCAGCTCCGCCTCCAGTCCGCCACCGGGGGCATCGGCGGGGGCTGAAGGCGGGGCGTGCGTGCCCGGCGAGCTCAGGTCCTTGGCAGAGCTGGAGGAGGCGAAGGACGGCGAGGACAGCGAGGACAGCGAGGAGGTGACTGCGGAGACGACAGACAGACACGTGGCTGCCACGCGCTCGCGCCCCGCCGCCCACGCCCGGGGGAGGCCCGCAGTAGGGCGCCGGCGAACGTACATTCCTCCCGGCTCTCCACCTCCACCTCGGCCTCCGAGTCCTTGTCGTCCTCGAGGGCAGCTGTGGCTGCTGCTGTCTCCGGGGCGCTGGGTGCGTCCGCGGCAAGCTTCCGTTTCCGAGGCTGGGCGCAGGCGGTGAGGGGCTCGGGCGCCCGGGAGATGGCGGTGGGGCACGGTGGGCTGCTCACGACCTTTTGCTGGGCCGGCGGTGCCAGGGCCACATTGGGGGCCACCCCGGTCTCGAAGCTCTTGTAGGAGTAAAAGCTGCGGGGGCACAGGCAGGTACTAGGGCCACAGGCATCTGCGTCACCCCTCCGCGCCCTGCGCCCTGGCAGCCAGCCTGCCGCACTTGTCGTGGGACCCACTCCCTTGGAGGGTATGGAGGAGACGCTCTGGCCAGGGACCCTGGGGACGCTGGGCCATGACACTGGACACTGGCTACCACAGCCACGACGGGCACACCCAAGGGAGAGGGTGCCTCAGAAGTTCTAGACGCCAATCTAAGGGCCAGGATGTAGGGGGTCCGGGCATGTAGCCTGCGGAGCCAATGGGTGCTGTGCTCATATGGTGCTCCACCCACGATAGCACAAGGGTCTGCCTCACCGCCACGCACCCCACCGCAGGGCCAGGTGATGACGGGGACACGGACGTGTCTTACAGGTGGTCACACCCATGCCCAGGCCGCCCAACAGCTGCACACACGGTACAGTGAACCGTCAACGCCACTCGGGCCCACAGACTTGGGAACACAGTGCTGAGCATGCGCCGGGAGCACAGCCACTCAGGAGGCATGGGGTGTGAGTCCTCGGGAACCATGGAGCCGTCACTGCTCCCCAAACTCCCAAATCATATCGACTCTGTTTGAGCGACAGCTCTGGTCACCTCAGGTAATGGTGGAGCCGGCTCCCGCCACCCAAGGCCTGGTGCCTGCTGGCCACCAAGTGGGGTGGGTGCTCACCTGTCTCGAATCAGGGCCGGGAGGTGTGGGGAGAGCTCTTTGTCACTTGCGGGAGCTGCAGGGGACCAGGGTCGGAAGGCAGAGAGGCGCTGGCGAGGGTGAGCACAGCCGAGGCTCTGGGGGGAGACGGCGCCCGTGTCAGAGGCTGCAGCCCAGGGGCTGCCCCACTCCCCACCGCACCCCTACCCCAAGCAGAACCTTGCTGGAGGAGCTGGCAAAGGTCCGCAGCCAGCCAGACTGCTTGTCCTTCTCAGAAGACGTGGGGAGCTGGGAGGAGGCGCTGTCAGTTTTCCTTATGGAGGCCGGGGGCTCGGAGGAGACCTGTGAGTGAAACAGAAGTTCCCGTTGGCACCTCCAATAGTGTCTGCCCCCTGGGCCCAGGCCGGGATCTCCCAGCCAGCAGAGTCAACCGCGCATGAGGCATGTCCTTGACACAGAGCCCTGGCCACATGCAGGCCCCACCGTCTCTGCAAGAACAGCAGGCGTGATGCACGCCTGGTGGGGCTGTCTCACGGTGACCTCACCACACAGCTGCAGCGGGTGTGGGGTAGGGACTTCCTTGGGGCCCAAGCCAGTTCACAGTGGAGACCAGAGGGGACGGCCCCACACCAGCCCTGCCCACGTGCTGGGAACGTGGTGCCGAAACAGCCATGGGTTCCATGGACCCTTTGAAAGCCGTCTCAGAATGGACCCCTGCCTCCACTCACTGGCTGTGGTTGGGCCTGAGAGGAGCAGGCTCGCTGGCCCAGTGTGGGGACCTTTGTGATGGCCCTCCCAGGAGGGAGACGTCAGAACAAAGGACACCCCTCCCCACCAAGCGAGCTGCGGGTCAGGAGAAAGCCCAGTGCCCTCTCCACGCTGGCAGGTGGGAAAGCAGCCCTGCCCCTGGGGCTGGCACCGGTCTGCGGATGTGCAGCTCAGACCCACAGGCAACAAGATGCAGGACAGTGGCCTCCTGGGCCAGCGTCAGACCAAGAACGACCTCCCTTGACCTGACAGCACAAGATTCCCAAGGCAAACGGGGTCTCTTGGCAAGAACAGAATGGCCCCCGGAAGATGGACTGCGCCCGTCCCAAGCAGAACCGCAGGGGGCCAGCACGATGGCCTGCTTATAAAAGGAGCCAGCGAGGGCTACTGGGCCCCCCGCACTCAGGCAGAGAGAGCGGATGTGGGGGCCCTCCTGGCTGCAGCCAGGAAACCCCAGAGGGGCTCCTCCCCTCCAGAAACACGTGGGGAAAACACCATATCAGAACAAGCGCCTAGGGAACACTGGCTTCCTGGGGGAACAGGCGAGTGGGCGATCAAGGTGCCTGCTCACTGGGTGCTCCCTAGAAGACTCAGGAGATGGGGGACAGGCCAGACCCTTGCAGAGGCCCGCCCAGCAAGGCGCCAGGAGGCCTGCCAGGGCCCACGGGGTGGGCATGCCTGCCCTTGACTCCAGGACACGGGGCTCGCAGCCCCGGGGAGAGAGAATGGCCTCGGACGCGCGGGACCCGCTGGCCTTCGTCCTTCACCGGAGCAGCTCTGCTGGACACCCAGAGCCCTGCGGTTGGCAGGCGCCCAGCTTTGGGGGCGGCTCAGCAGACCGTGTGCTCGACACAGAAACACCCACTCAGGAAAGGCCTACGTGATGCTGCTTTCTGGGGGAACAGAGTCCCGGTGACGTGTGGGGGTGCCTCCCTCAGGCGAGTGCAGACAGGTGGGGGTCACACTGGCAAGGGTGGAGCTTCCTGTCTGAGCAACCGCAGAAGGGGTGGGTGACACGGCGGTCTCAGGACCGCCACGCCAGCCGCTCTTCTGCTCCCACAAACCTCCAGGGAACTCTCTCAGGGGGTGTCAGACAATTCGGTTGCAGGGCCCAAAACCATCACATGGTGGGGATGGGGACACATCTGCAGGAACCCCAGTGCCTCAAAGCCAGTCCATGGGGGCCCACAGTGCTTGAGGAGGGAGCAGGGCTCTGGGCCCAGGGCAGCAGACGGGCCTGTCATGAGCACGAGGCCAGGGGCCCACTGTCAGCCCCACACAGGGTGCAGAGGCCAGAGCAACCCCACCCACGGCCACCTCCCCAGGGGGCTGCAGACAGTGGACACCACCCCATACCCCAACGACAAGGGGAGAACGTGTGACCATGTGCACGTGCTGGCACAGGATGTGTGCAGCCTCTGCCAGAGAATCCACGGACGGCGCAGATGCCAGTCCCAGCAGACCCTTGCCTACCTCAGAGCAGCCGGAGCAGGTGCCCACCTGGGACTTCTTGGCAGCTGCGTGAGCCCATCACCAAAGAGGAGGGGCACACCCCGCTGTGGGGCTCTGGGGTCTGCAGCCAAGGGCCTGTGCACGTCTGCAAGAACTTAGGAGGGACTACGGCTAGGGCCTTCGTGTGGACTCAGGCCAGGAGTGTCAGCCAAGCCAGAGGCACCAAAACGTGGGGTCCATCAGATATAGGTGGGGTGCGGGTCAGGACGGCTGCTGGGCCTGTGGCTGACCCTCAAAACCAGAGCAGAGGAGAGCAGGACAAGGTGGCCCGTGGCCACCAGGAGCCACGGCAGCTTCCAGTGTCGGCCCCAGGCCCCGGGTTCACCAAGGACGTACTTCAGGACCTGCGCCCACAGGGCCCTGCAGTCACCCCAAGGAAGCCAACTAGGGGGGCTCCTCTCTGCAGGCAGCAGGCAGCGGGCGCACTGGGTGTGGGCCCCATACCCTGTACTGAGGCCCAGAGGTGGAGAGGTGGGGCTGGGGGGCTTTGGGCCTGGAGACAAACGGCCTCATCAGATTTCTGAATCCCCATCCCTAAGCTGCACAGAGAGGCTCAAGTTCCAGCAGAGTGGGAGCAAGCCCAGGCCCTGGGCCCTGGCCTGGCATCTGAAGACCAAGGGGGGCCCCTGGGCGCCAGGCTCGCATGGGAGGTGAGGCTGGCAGCCTACCACCCCGTCTTCCCTGGAGGCACGAGCTCATCACCACGGCCTCCCAAGAACACCCAGGATATTCCACCAACTTCCCTACTTTGAGCCCACGCCAGGTCCCCAGCCGCCTCACGCTCCATGTCTTGTGCACCCCCTGCCTTGGACATCCTAAAAAACGCATGCATGGGGCGGGAGGGGTGGAGCAGGGAAAGCCCAGATGTGGCTTCTGCCCAGGCTCTGGCCACCACACGGGTCGGGACGAGGGCCTAGGCCCAAGCCCCCAGGTTCCAGGGTGGCCCTGGGGTTGCAGAGGGTGGACCCCACTCACCAAGGCAGGGCTGAGGCCAGCCAGGCATGGAGGCCAGGCACTGAACCGGATGCCACAGGGGGCAGGAAGCCCAGTGCAAGGGCAGCACCCCCAGAACCATGTGGGCTCAGGAGCGTGGCCACAGTGCCCCGCACGTCCTCAGCTCCCAAGCACTGGGGCAGCTCAGGCCTGAACTCACAGCCGACAGGCAGGCTGGCAAGACTGTGGACGTGGCCCCATCTGAAAACCCCCTGACCGAGGCACCCGAGCCTCCGAGCCTGTGTGGGCGCTGCTCCCTGGCCCTGCCCCCGGCACGGGTCGCCACTGCAGAGGCACACATGGGCAGAGCTCAGCCGTGCAGACTGCCCACAACAAGGGTCACACGCACAACCGGTGACAAGCAGAGCAGCACATCCCCCGGGCAGACAGGGACCACACTGGCTCGGTTTTGTCATTACACTAAGGTGTCCCAGTCTGGCCTCATGGACGCATGTGCCCTGGGCATGGTGCCATGCTGGGCTGCCACTGGCTGCCACCCAGGTACCTTCTGACCCAAGAGCACAAGGCGCTGTGGCCAGGGGACCAGGTGGGAGGCCCGCACAGCAAGATGCCTGGACACTGGCCAGAAAGCAGGGCCAGGGTGGAAGACCAGCGCCCTCCCTACAGCCAGGGGCTACAGTCATGTGAGACGGAGCCCCAGGGGCCGGGACAGGGCACAGGATGTGAACACTGCTACCTTGGAACCAGGAGATGTGTCTCACCCAGCGGCATCAGGCCAGGAGTGGACCAGGCACAGCTCTTGGGGGCCTGGCATAGCTGTGGCACAGGAGCCACATGTGGTCAGGAACCCATCTGTGGTGCATGCACAGAAACTGTCAGCTGACAGACACTGGTCTGAGGCCGTGGGGGAGATGAGGCTGAATGCAGGCCATGTGCTGGCGCCTCCTGTACCCCCCACCCCAGCCCCTGGGGCCGTGATGGCGTAGCCTGGCAGTAGCCAGGACCCCACGCTCACACCTGTCTTGGCCCAACGCTGCAGGTCCCTGGGCAGAGGACAGGAGAGTGAGCCGGGAGCAGCGCCCCGGCCCACCCACCACGAGCCAGCAGGCAGGGCTCAGGGAGAACAGCCGCTGAGGGAGACCCCCTGAAGGCGGTCGTCGGCCCACCACGCAGACAGCCTGGGGCTGGGCTCCCATCCACTCTTCAGGAACCCAGAAAGGGCACCACAAAGTCAGAGGGCACGAAGAGCAGAGACTCCATGTCCCCAAAGGGTCTAAACAGGACCAACCCCCTTGTGATTCCATGGGGCGGGCCACATGCAGCTGCCAGATGCAGGCATCCCACGGGAGCACAGTGCTGCCACCACCCACCACATGCTGCGTGTGGCCGTCTATGCCCACAGGAGCCACCATGAGGGCTGCCTGCCGCCCGACTGAACCTGGGCTCCACCCCTCGGGGCACTGACGGCCCTCGGGGCTGGCTCCCATGGCCTGGCACCCCCACTCCCGTGGAGCACAGCTCCATCCCGTCGCAGGCCGGATGGCAGCTGTCAAGTGGAAGGGCGTGGGCAGAACCACCAGCCGTCACCCGGCTGCTAGGCCTCGTGGGCTCCTGCACACCGTGCTCCCCTGACTCCGGGGCTGCTGCCCAAGTACTGATTAAAGCCAGCAGCAGACCGCACGCCAGAGCCCCTCCCACTCTTACACCAATTCAGTGCTGGCGGCCCCTGCCTCACACTTCCTAGCACAGGGCTTTGACTCAACCTTTGCAGGGAGTGTTCACATACCCAAATCAAACACTGCCAGACACAGGACCACACATCTGCCCAGTGTCCACGGAGGGGGGTCACCATGGGCATGCAACACACAGACCCCAGGCCTGGCGCAGCAGTGCAGAGGCAGCCACACCCCCCAGATGAGACCCTCAGAGTTCTGGTGGCTGGGGCTGTGCAGTGCGGCGGGGACAGCGCCTGCACCACGGGGCTGGCCTTTGCTCATGTCTGAAGAGAAGCAATTCCTGAAAGCTGTGGGTGAGTTGCCGCTCCCCTGTCTGAAAGCCAGGCTGGGCCGCACGCAGAGCCGGGTGCTGGTGCTGGAGGGGGCTGGGCC